ACATAGTTGCTTAGAGTTGCAGCTGAGAGGCCGGCAAGTGAGGCGGGGAAACGTTGGAGTCCCAGTCACTGGAGCAAGCAAGCCTCCCTGCTCGCTTCAGTGCATGGCTGCCGGCCGCCATCTTGGCTGACAGTTAATTTGCATAAGGATATGCTGATTAGCCAATGGGAAGGGTAGCGGTCATACGCTAATTACCATGTTTCTCTTTTATTAGTGTAGATATAACTCCAATAAATTCAATAAAATTTTTAAAATTAATAAAAATTTCTAACTAGAATCAAGCCATGGCAGGGACACATCTTAGGCCTGTAGCTTCCTTGACAAAGGTCAGTCTTGACCTTAACTGAGCCTGCCTACTGTCTTTTTGCATCTAAGATAACATACCTTTGAAATGTCAGAGTAATCTCCTTTTCCAGATTCCTTAGGGCATAACCTCCCACCAAAACAGGAGACCACAGACTCCTCATTGTTATCTGTTCCCTGCATAGCATCTCTATGTGCTGTAAATGTTACCCATCCTGTACCCAGCAATGTAGAAGTATGTGTCTCTCTGTCTGACTCTTCATCCAATCCCAACAATTTCCCCCTTTGCTTTCTCCCTTCCCCTAATGTACCACCGATGGATTTCATGTAATCCCCTGCATCTCCTCCTCTGACTCTAATGTATAAAATAAGCTGCAAAACTGCCATTCTCCAGAGTGTTTTCTGTCTGTAACCACACAACCAATGGGTCCGTGCTGCCTGTCACTACTTGAGCCAATTAAGCAGAGACAGGGTCAAATCATTTATGAGCATTTATTCCAATACTCTTGGCAGAAAGTTATCCACAAAAATCTGCTCTTCAGCCCCCCATAAGCCAGCTGCTTATATAGGGTAGGACAAAGATTACATGGGGAAGTAGGCTATGCAGGCTGGGGTGGGACCCCATTATTTGGGCAACAAAGTTGTTAATCTTTGCATGATAATAGGCAGTTCTTTTTTTAAAAAAAATTTTTATTGATTTTTCAGAGAGGAAAAGAGAGGGAGAGAGAGATAGAAACATCAATGATGAGAGAGAATCACTTATCGGTTTCTTCCTGCATGCCCCCTACTGGGGATCAAGCCTGCAACCTGGGCATGTGCCCATGACTAGAATTGAACCTAGAACCCTTCAGTCCACAGGCGAAAATAGGCAGTTCTTGAATGAGAAGGGACCACATTCCCAGGTCCAAGGTTGACTCCCAGGTCCTGGGGGTGTACAACACCCAGCCAGGTTAAAATGTCCCTTTTTTTTTAGAGCGAGTGGAAGAGAGAGGGAAAGACACAGAGAAATATTAATGTGAGAGAAACACATCAATTGGCTGTCTCCTACAAGAGCCCCGACCAGGACCTGGGCCAGGGAGGAGCCTGCAACCAAGATACGTGCCCTTGACCGGAATCGAACCCGGAACCCTTGGGTGCAACGCTCTATCCACCAAGCCAAACCAGCTTGAATGTCCTTTCTTTAACCAGTACAAGGCAATCATGGTTAACAAAACATGATTAATATTTCCCATAACCATAGCTAACCCCTAATATTCTATTTTTGCCCCCTAACAAGTCCATTGAGAGTTTGCCTCCTGACAATTTTCAGTTTGGCTCAAATAAACTCATAAAAATCCTCTATGGTTCTTACATGGAGAAATGGCAGCCCCACTCCCTCCTCACATAGGGGAGCAGCCCCCTGTGCCCAAATTTGGAGGCGTCTCCCCACGCTCGGGTGAGAGGAGAGGTGAGCGCAGGTGAGGCTGCTGCCGTGGCTGGCTCCCGGGGCCTGGCTCCCGGCCAGCGCTGTCAGAGTGCATCAGGGCGCACCGCTTCTCCTGGCCATCACGCTTTAATAGTCAGTTAGAATATTTATTTTGTAAAATGGATGTGCGGCCTATAAATGTTGCATCAATCTGAGCAGCTGAGCGGGAACAACAGCCCTCTTCTCTCTGACCCGAGTAGGACGTGACCCTAGATTCTCATCCGGGATGCTCCTGTCCTCTTAACCAAAGGCTACCCTCCTGTTTAGGAGACGGAAATCTCAGGAGGTGGCAGCCACGGGCTCCCTAAAGAGAATACCCAGCAACTCCGGTGCCAACATGCATCAGAGGTACTAGTACACTGGGCACTCCTCAGTCCCCAGCACCCTACCAGCTCTGGGGCAGGCAGGGGAGGCCAGAGGTGGGCAGGAGCCATGGGGGGAGTTTCTCAGAGATGCTGAAGGAGGTGAAGAAGGGCAGGGTTGGGAGTGCATTCATTCAACAGCTATTCACTGAGCACCTACTTATGTGCCAGGCACTGGGAATACAGAAGTAAATGAGACAGAAAAACTGCCTGCCCTGCGAGAGCTCACATTTCCATGAGAGAAAACACTTCCTGTGCCTGGGGTGTGATTGCCCCCTGGACCTGCCCAGTTAAGAATGTATCGTCTCTCCGATCTCCCTCTCCAGCTCCCAGGGAGCCCCACAAAGATGCCTACCAGATCTCTTGGGTAGAATGCTGGTAGATCCAGGGATCCTTCCAAAAATGCTGGCAGACTTTAGCACTTCCATTTTCCAAGTTCTATGTCCTGTGCCACCCATTGCGGTTGCAGGAAGGGTGCTCGGAGATCCCCATCAGCTAGAGCAAGTATGTGGAGAGCACCTACTCTATGCAGGGCCCCAGGCTAGGGGCACCAAAGGGGGCAAGAAACTGGTTTCTGTCTTCTTCAACTTTACAACTCATTGCAGAGGCAACTCACCATCCAAAAGCAGGGACCGGGCATTGGGCACCCGTGTCCCCAGCACTTGGGGCACTGTGTGGCATTGCAGGGCTCCCTCAGTGTTGAATGGATCAAGGACCTATAAGCCAGAGAGAGCGATGCCCTGGGGCAGGGTGGGGCAGGAGGGTCCCGGAAGAAGATGGGAGAGGATCTGGGCCCTGGGCCCAGGCAGAAGAGAGGGCTGGGAAGGGAGGATATTTTAACAGGAGGAAACCCATGGAGGCGGGAAAGCACTAGCTGTTCATGGGTGGGTCTCGGTGGGGAACCGGGGGAGGAGAGGCCCCTCCCAGCAGCATTCCCACCACAGGGCTGTGAGAACGCTGCCTCTTCGTTGAGCCCAGCCCCGCTGCCTCTGCCTCGGGGTTCAGATAACCCCTGTTAGGGCTTATCTCTCCAACACAGGTTGGCTTCCTGGAGTCCTTTGAAGGTCTTTACCAGGGGCTGGTGGACTATGCCCCCAGCAATATTTCAGAGAGAGTCCCGGGGATCAGATAACTGTCCGCCTCCCAGAGGAGTGGCCTTGGTGCCAAACTTCTCCCTCCGAGCCATGTTCTCTCGCGGGGAGAGGAAGAGCTGCCAGTAGCACCCTGATGTGAGGTCCTGGATGAGATGGGCGTCCGATGAAGGCACAAACCTCTAGGAAGCGTCCAGAA